TTTTCAATGAATACCCTCTGGAACTGTTGAGAACGTTCCAGAAGATTATGATTTCGTAATTACTGATAAAAATTCCAAAAAATTCAACATTTTAAAAAAACTCAGCAAAAAAAAATGTTTTCTGGGACCATGCGTCCTGATGGCAGGACGCATTTTTTGACAAAAAAAAATGCGCGTGGTCCCACGCGGCGGACAAGCAAAAATAGGCTGGTCGTCAACCTGTTAAAGATCAAGTGTCAAAAATCACAATGAACAAAACAATCTGCACACTGCTCTTTGCCAAGTAAGTCACTCTGGCCAACATAGTTGAGTGTATACAGCAGGCAGTTCCTATGATATAAATGATTTTCAATAAATTTCTTATACAACGTGTTATTAAAAGTGGCATATAGTTCTTAAATGTTCCTTAGTTAAATTATTCACTATATCACTATACACCAATAATTGCAAGAGTGGAGAGTTAAACTTGAGTCTTACTGGAATAGCATACAGATTGATCATCAAAAACATAACCAGAACAGAAGCAACCATAATAACACAAAAGAGATACCAAAAACCAACTTCAACAAAATTCCCTTCTGCCCTACTGCCCTCCACAATTAAGGAAGATGCAAGAATGGGACATTTTTTGATACCTCCAGGATTTTCAATCCTGGTGAAAGATTTTCAGATTCCTGAATACTCTGTTTCTAGTTGGCAAGCCATGACCAATCTTGTATGCAATGAGATGGCCATCAATCATGCACTTAGATATAAAAGAATAAACACATGCCTCTTCATTTGCATCAGTAATATTAATTGATGCCATTTTTTGTATTTGAAGTGTACCTGGAATCAACATGTTAGGCCTATCCTAAACCCAGATGAGATTCCCGTCATGACAGGTATCATCCTAGCACTTTTAAGACTGATAAACAGTGGCATACATGTGCACAATAAATAAATATAAAAACAGAAAATCAGAGAGAGATCAAGCCAGAGCCTCCTCCTCTGTTCTTCAACAAGATGAGTAAATGTGAAATGCTTGGATGGAAACCTCAAGCCCATCATGCACTAAGGAATGTCATCATATGTTGATCATTTTGAGAGCACTGAGACACTTCCCAACAAAGGGAAATGGCAAGTTTTCACACCAAACCTTGCAATAAAATAAGACCAATGATATCATGGAGCACCTTGGCTGGGCTGAAAACTAGTGCAGTGCACTGTCTGCTGACTGCAATTTTACCATACATTGGGGGAAAGAAAAATGGTATTTGAAAAATTGGGGAAATGTGATAGGCCTACCAATGCTGGCAAGAGTTCCAAGGACTGACGTAACCATGGTGGGAGCAACACTCTGCTTTGGTGTGGTGATGTGTTGAATAGGTGTTGCCATGTTACCCTTGGTCACAACAATATAAGTTGAACCATGCCCATTGCTTGTTCCTACCTAAAGCAGCAGAAACAAAGAAAATGTAATTCATGATGCATGTCTTACACCTCCATTTAAGGGAGAACAGACCACAGGTACAGTGGAGGCATGTAGATTTATGGCTTCATGCCGTATCACTCCTGGTCTTTGAGACTGAACCTCTGACACTGAATCAAGAGAACCATTTCACTATAGTCAATAAAATATTCACAATGGCTTGTTCTTACTAAGGCCTCAATTCTCACCTGGAGCACACAGTGAGGATCCACCATCTGCCAGATCAAACCAATTTGTACTTGCCTATGAATGGGAAAAACAAAAATTTGCTGCTCTCCTCTCTTTATATTTAAAACAAGAAGGGTAGGCCACAAATGAAAAGTACCTTAGCACTACAATATTCTTTGATAAATTATTTGCCAAAAAAAATTATTTCCTAGAAATGACTGAAGACCCTTAAGTAGTAATTTCCTTATGTATGCAAGCACCCCTTATGACAGGAGAATACATACATGGGGAATTCCTATGGCTTATTTGACTTTTTACACAAGTGCAGGTCAATTTGCAAGATGTATCATGCTTCACTTTACATAACAGATGCATTAGGGGTGCACTGATTGCACCACCATCTGAGATGATTTATGCAGAGTATCTATTCCCTCTACTACCTCAAGTAAAACACAATGCATAAACTGTCACTCTGTCTCTGATGATAATTGGGAGTACACCATCATGGACTCATGGCTTATCCTCCCATGCCAATCTAATCCTATCAGAATTATAACCAAACATTTTGTTGTGATATTTGAAGTTCTAATGCAATTGAAGAAATGCACATGAGTGAAGAGAAAATGACGCAAAGAGCTCAATGCTGAGTGGACCTGTCGCTTTTATCAAATTGCTATGAGGATGAAACAAGACAGGCTCCCCAAGTTGCATCCAAGAATTCCAGTTGACTATAGCACCTTGATACTCTACATTGTCCTCTTTCCTACACTTATACTATAACAGTGCAACAAATGGAATACTCCACAATATACAGGTGTACATGAACTGTTGAATTATTAGAATTATTAGAAATCCATTCTTGAGATTTTCTCACCTCAACCCAAAACTTCTACAATGAGCCACAAAATTGAACTTTGTAGGGCTTTACTCATACAAAAAAGAGACTGTAAAGACTCACAGGATTTGGAACAGAAGCAGATGTACTATGGTAGAATTGAGAAGAAGGGATTGCCATCACACCTTCAGCCCCACCTGTGCAACACCAATAAAGTTCCCCTCAATTGAGTATGAGATGGAAATTTCACTTTAGTCTGCTTTTCCCTTATCCCCTAAGACCCCTTAACTTTTGCAACATTTTCAAATATGAGGACACTGCACCAACATGAAGTTTCCTGTTTTTTGGATATCATACCTGCATATCATAGCATTGGATTCAAGGATTCCTTAATAGCAATAACAGGAAGTACTTGTGGTATTCCTTCATTTTGTGCACACTGTGACAGCCAATGAACACTGCACATGAATCTCAACTACATTATGTGAACACTAATTTCCAATGAACACTGAACCTCCTCTCCCATGTTCGATTCGAAATGCACTACCTGATGTAATGGCAAGTGGGATGAACATCCAGTAAACCTTGTTGCCCATGTGTAAAAGAAATACGATTGCCTTTCTCCTTCAAGACATTGGTAAGACTTGGACATCAGAAAATCTGTCATTGGCCCGCAAAGGAACCGGTCCCTGAATTGGAAGTAGTTTACTGGTTTGTGGGTTTGTGTATAGGGTGACATTCCCCTCACCCCTATCACTTCCCTCGCACTATAACCTTCATCCCATCTGAAACTGGGAAGGTGATATGTGATGCCTACCTACATAAGCTTAAGCATGTTCATGCATAAAATCCCCAAAACTCCAAATACAACATTTAATCTTTTGCAGTTCTATATTTCTTCGTAGTCCTTGTTAGACTGGTCTCACATAACGGATTCCTCATTATTACTTCATCAGCAATACACCAGTTCAAACCCCATCCTCACTGTAATGCCCTGGCATAGAAATAAACAATATGAATTTACAAAGTCAGGGACACGTCACAAAGTCAGCACATGTCAATGGAATGGACTACCCACATAAAATCTATGTCTGAGCAATCTGTCTGAGCAGCCTCAACATAGGACTGCAAAAGCTTACTACGATACAGCCATGTACCCTAAGTAAAGGGATAATAGAGTCAGGAGACTATAAGTGTGCTCAGACTCAAATTTCACAAAAGTTCATGAAAATATTTACAATTCATGATAGACAACATAAAATTATTTCTGGCTGTTTTAATTGCAATCAATCCTAGCAAATCAGTGCTTCACCAGTTTATAATACCACAAGGAAAGAGCAATTAAGGAGGAATTGATTTAATTCATTAATTCCAGTAAGGCAACAAACAATCCAGAAGTCACATGTGACATTAACACACAGAACAAGTATGTGCATAGCAATTTGCTTCTTCCCACAACAGAGGCCTTTTGCTCTAATATAGCAAACTACATAGCTAGCATGCCAGATCACCCCAACAAGTTCAGGGAGTGTTAGCCATGCTTCCCTCATGACATTGCAAATTGGCATAAGCCATTAGTTAATGATTTAGTCTAAACAGAACCATATACAGGGTATGATTCACCTTCTTGATGAGATAGTATTGAAAGCTCTTTACAGAGAAGGTATTTCCATTTCAGTCAAACCATTTAAAAACTATCTTCAAAATGAAATTTAATTTTTAGAATTTGTGGCAACAGTTTAAGAATGTCATTCCAGGATAAGTGTGAATAAATAAATGACTGAGAAAAGCAGTGCATGAAATCAAGTAGCTTAGAGTAAGCAATGGTGAATTTCTGCATTAATATTTTCACCTGATAACTAAGTTACTCCTCTGACCACTTCCAAATCAATAATGTACCATTCATATAACTTAAAGGCAAGAGATACAGTTGATGCTCACTATTACAAAATTCAAGGGAGGGAAGTTTTTCCTTCATTATAACCTATTTTTATTAAACCGTTATTACATGATTTTGAAGAAAAAGATTACATTTTCAATAAACCTGAAGATGAAGCAGGAAAAAACTAGTATGTACTGCTTTGGGCATGGGCATGACTACTCAAATATGTGACTAACTGACCATCTGTGCATACGTGAAGGTAACATGTATAACGCTATGACTAAAACCATGTTCCCACTCCATTAACCCTTAAACGATCAAGCTGGGTCAAATTTGACCCAGAGACTATGTTATAATGGGTGAAACTTTGAGGCTTGGTAGTTTAGAGTTAATGACTTATTTTGGGATAGAACTGGCATTAAAATTTTGCGATTTCACAGTAAAAACTTGTTCTTGGCAATTGTTACTAGAAAATTACTTGTTACAAGGTATATTTTGTAATATCATAACTCGTTACGTTTTATAATATGTACAGGGAGATACTGGGGCCAACCAAATGTTGACTATTTTTTCCCTAAATGGTGTTTTTCATTAAAGTGTACTTCATTATAACGAGGACCAACTGTACCAGAAACAACCCCCTGCTGACAAAAACTTGCTCAATGACACATGAACAATTATGCTAATATAAAAACTATCCTTAATGCCTTTTATCAAAATGTGACTTAAAAGTGACAGTTATGACTTTAAAAGTCACTTATATTATCATGAGGATGCATATGTAAATTTTACAGCCCATTGTGACCTCAGGGTAATATACCCTTTGCAAGTGTGCCCATATTAAAAAAAAAAATTATAAAACAAAAATGAGAAGTGTGTTTTCCATTTACTTAAATAATAAAATTGTAAATATATATTTTTTCTCTTCCATAAATTAATTTTGTCTACATAGGATGAAAGCCATGTCCTCAAGTGAAGTGAAAAATTATCTGACTCGAGTGAAAACAGAGTAGTTCATGGAATAACAGGATGTACAGAGATTAAAGATTTGTGCAATGAACCAGACTTCACATGTATGTTTACTTTTCCAAGTATACCTCTGCAGGAAGAAAAGCAAAAAACTTTAAAATTTGGGAAATATTGTACCCATAGGCCTGCCGATGGTGGTGATGAGGGAGTTATTGAGAGTGCCAGGGACAGAGGCAACCATGGTGGGCACAACACCTTGCTTTGGTGTGGCAATGTATTGAATGGGTATCACTGAAGTGGCCTTGGGCACTGCAACATATTTCAGCCCTTGCCCAACACTCATCCTCACCTAAAATGCAAGCAAAAATTACAGCTGCAAATTGTCCAAATTTGTACCTGGATGAAGGAAGTTTTATATATTTCTGTGGAGAAGATCTTAAGAGGGAAGACATAAGAACTCATGACTGATGCAGTGTCATTTCTGGTCTCTGAAATTGACCTTGTGAAACTATCAGATTCTTCTGATTTTGCCAGACTGCCATTGGAACTTAGTTAAAATAACTATTCCACCATAGTCATCTCAATACCCCCAGGGATTGGTATGTACTATTGCCTTGATGCTCACATAAAGCAGACCAAGAGAATTGACCATCTGTAAGAAAAATCCAACTTCTCTGAGTAGAATGAATGACTTGTCTACCTCTTCTTTAATGCAAGTTGAAAACTAAGTCAATGCAATCTGAATCAACAAAATGATGAAATTTATTATTTATTATAAATGATGAGATTACTTGTTTCTATTTTAATTTAGATAGAAAGTTGCTTCATTGGCAAAACTTTCTTTCACCAATAAAATTTGTCTAGCTTTGCTTAGATTTGAGTTTGAGCACAATCTAAGAGTCTAGAACTTACAGAGGAAACATGAGAGGTGGATGCTGCTGACATGGCAACTCTACTTGTACTGGCAGTGGTTTGAGTATTAACATTCTTGGGAGTCAAGGTGGCGATGGAGACACATGCTTCAACCTAGCAAGATGAAATAAAATAGAATCAAACATGGAATAACAAGATTAGTTATCTGAGAGAATCTGAACCCAACCTGTGCTTCTCTCAATATTTGGTCTATGTGTTCCCCATTTGCTTGGAGGCCCACAATACGAATGGATTTGGGGGGCAGGTGGAGCATCTCCTTCCTCTCGTCAACTGTTGGAAGGCTGCTCAAGATCTCTTTCAGGTTGGAAACCTAGAAGGAATGTGCAGCAAAAATCATCTTCCACATGTGAAATATCAGCTGCAATTCCTTTATAAAGGATCTGTCTTGACTTAAAAACTAAACCTGTTTCTTGAGATCTTCCTGTATTTCACGGTACTTGTCTTTCCAGGGCTGTACTTTGCTGGAAGCCTCCCACAGCTGAGAAAATTTCCCTGACACAGCCATGAACTCAGCAAAAACACTTGTATGGATGGCACCAAGAAGTCTCTGAAAAAGAATGTCAATCACATATTTCACTCCTTTGTTTCATACTCATATGCATGCTACTGATGATGAGCTTTAGAAAATAAATATCTAACCTTTTCTTCCTCAAACTCATCCTGGTCAAATGGCAATATCCGGACAGGATCTGTCTGAACCTCGACTGCCTTTGTACTTGTTTGATGTATTGGCAGAGAAACAAGACCATTTTTCTTACCCATTCGCCTCGTTTTTGTGGGTGGACTTGTCCCTACAGGAGAATCAAATTCAAGCTCATCAGGCACAAAGCCAGGCTCCAGCATTCATCCAACAATATATAAATAAATTCAGTGGTCTTCCCTACTCTCCTATGTTATAAAGTGAAAAAGGCAGTGAGTTCTCACTGACAGACTTGGTACATTACAACAGTGGTTCTCAACTGGTGTACCATGGCACAATGGAAGACTTAGTGTGCTGCCAAAAAAATAAGGTTGAGAACCACAGCATTACAAGACCACTGAGTTTTTACACTATCCACTTCACCTCTGCCACTTGGCACTTTTGAGCGATTCCTTGAAATTCTGGAGTCATTTTTGTTCTCTTCACACTGGCTGCTGGGTGGATCGCATGTTTTCTTGTCCATGCTGATGCAATCCCTGCTCTGGCTGACAATGGCACATTGATAACCAGCTCAAATGAATGTTTTCCAATCCCTTGGAATTAGTAATGTGAGGAGCTCAAAAAAAAAGCTCAGAGCAGGGCACCTGCAAATGATATACATGAAAAATGAAATAAAAGAAGGGCGTGAGGATGGTAGATCCCACAGAACTATAAGAAACCAAGTGAATTTTGCTCATCCTTGATATATATAAGAACATATGTAGCTGCTAAATTTCTAGTCTAAAGGTAAAAGACCACACCTTTGCACTTTGAATATTTTCAAGTGGCATATCTTAAGCTACTTATGAACATATCACCAAACAGTGCAACACCAATCACTGCAACTTAGCAACGATTTTTCTCATCCTACAATAAGTCCCTCACAGTTGGCCTACTTATTAGGTCCATGCAGAGAATCTACCTGCCATTCAATAATATCAGATAGGACCTAAGTCTGCCATATAAGACTAGCCCTACCATAATTTCAAAGCCATAGACCTAACCAAATGGGATTAAATCTATAATGGCCTCAAATATAATAGGCATAAGGCCTTGTCTATTTCTGGGTGGAGCTAACTAACATCAGCTTAGACCATCGAAAGGCACTATTGTGCCTTTTATGAGGAATTTTACAGGAATACCGCCCTTCCCCATTTAGAGTGAGTATCATGAGATCAAACAAATGGCTAGGTAGCAAGATTTGTGGGAATAAGTATCGCCTAGGCAGACAGAAAGCATTCAAATCATTTGACTCTTTTGAAATCCTTTGAAAAAAAAATAGAAAGGTATGACTGGAAGACAACATCTTCATTCCGTTCTCGGTTGATTGATATTCATGAACTTAAGACCTGGAGTCACTACGAACACGCTGCATGACGAAAAGCGGTTGAGAATGGCTTCTAAGGTACGGCACATAATGCTATTGAATGCACTACGTCTTTGCATGCGATTATTACGCCCCAAAGTCCCGTTTCCTTGCTTTCAGAGGCCTGACCTCACGATTCTTAGGCTTCCTCTGTTCAGCACCCATGGGTTTTGGTCTCCTAGTTCATATACCTCGACCTAGGCTCGGCTGGATGTTCAAGACGCGGCACGCATTGGTGAAAAAATGCATCCAGACCTACCGCAGAAAATTTCAGCCAAATATTATGAGATACACGAATAACTAAACCATGAACTTCAGTCAATTGAGGGTCGAAGTCACGAACCGCCGCAATGGGGGCATGGAGGTAACCATGAAGGGAACTTCGGGTCTCCCTGGTTTATTCAATCATCCGGCAGATGTCTCTGGGGCGGGCGCACGCGGGATCGGAAGCCTAGAATGTTTCATTCAGCGGTCTGACGTGGGACTGGTCGCCGGGCTCGCGGTGTTCGGTGAGTAAAAACTTTTCTGGTCTCAGTTACTTTATCTCGAGTCTTCAAAATGGGCTACTGGTTTGGTTTGAAGATTACTCCTATCATGTCCTTATGGAGCTTTTACCTCTGTCGAGTCTTTTCACGATTCAAATTTCATTTAGTTCAATTTGTAGACATTCTACCGAATATGCATGGGTTGAGTAGGTAAATGTCTAACGTGAATCTTGTATTAGTTCGAATTCGTGCAATTTTTAGTTACGCTTTCCTGTATTTGTCCTCTCTACAGAGAGAAAGTCCCTCGATCCTCTCGTCTTTCCCGCCATTTTCAGTCTTCTCGCATCCTTCGCCCGACCGGCATTCGTTTTCCGTTCGAAAAGCCCTCCCGCGAACGAAGCTCTCAAGACGATCTGAAGGTTTTCGACCACCATCATGCGCTAAACCTCGCTTTTCCCAAGGCTCACATTCCTTTCTCGGTGAAAATTTGGAGTCGTCCCTGAAAACTTCCAAGTCCTTTCTCCTCACTTAACAACTGTGGGCTCTGTCTATGCTCACTGTGCTCTGTGGCTTTAACTGTCCCGCAGGATTAGAAGCCTGGCAGCGTCACGAAAATCGAGTAATTGACGACCGGCAAACATGGCGAACAATATTTTTTAAAACTATTCCTGTACTTGCTAACATGTTAGCAATTTTGCAGGCTCGCCTGGGTTTGCCTGCGGTGAAG